GGATAAAACTCTCCCACTTAACTAAGATCTGAATAACTAAAGCCACAAAATGAGCTCCCCAACAGAACACTCAGTATTTTAAAGGACTTAATTCTTCCCAAATTAATATATAAATCCAGTGCCTAAGTGAATTCCTAGAATTTTACATGGTGTCAGCACCGATTTTGAATGTAAGTTGGATCTTCTCCCACCAGAAGCAGGGGTTAGTCACTCTCAACACCGGTTTCCAGTTCCCTACCTCCTCCCAGTTCCTCAATGTGGTTGATGCAGATATCTGTATTCTACAACTTCCTCCTGGTGACCCTCTCCCTGTGGGACAGCTGGGTACAGCCTTCTTGACTGGTCCTGCTGACCCCACAAACTGCACGGACTGTGCAGATTTGCTTCAGCGGCCATCTCTCAGTCACAGTGTGACCTCCGACAACTTATGCCTGCTTGCTTCAAACCCAACAATGAAATCTCCCTACAGGAAATCTGTCTGGGAAATGCCATGGACCCCAGTAAAAGCATTGACCTATAGAACTCCTCCCCCTTCCCTGAAACACTCCCTAATGTGTGTGTGTGTGTGTGTGTGTGTGTGTGTGTGTGTGTGTGTGTGTGTGTGTGTAGGGAGCCCTCATGTACTCCCCAGGACCCGTAAGTAATAAAATCTTCATTTCCATCATGTACCTCTCCCAAGCATTGAAGCAGTGCCCACCATCTTAAAAATCCTAAGGTAAAACAAATGCTGTCCCAATAAAAATTCTAAATAGATTTTGAATAGAGTTTTTTATTGTGGTAAAGTATACATAAAATATCACCATTTTAACCTTTTTTTTTTTTCATCCAGGCTGGAGTGCAGTGGCATGCTCATAGACACCACAGCCTTGACCTGTTGGCCTCGGGTGATCCTTTCACCTCAGCCTTCCAAGTAGCTGGAACGACAGGAGTGGGTCACCATGCCCGGCGAAATTTTTTATTTATTGTAGAGAGGAGGCCTCACCAAGTTGCCCAGGCTGGCCTCAAATCCATGGTCTCAAGAAATCCTCACGCCTCCACCTCCCAAAGTGCTGGGATTACAGGCGTGAGTCACTGCGCCTGGCTTAACCTTTTTTTTTGAGTCAGGGTCTCTGTCGTCCAAGGTTGAACTGCAGTGGCATGATCACAACTCACCACAGCCTCAACTTTCTGGGCTCAGACAGTGCTCCTGCCTCAACCTCCTGAGTAGGTGAAATCACAGGTGCACTAATTTTTGTAGAGACAAGGTCTCCCTATGTTGTATAGTCCTGGGCCCAAGCAATCCTCCCACCTTGGCCTCCCAGAGTGCTGGGATTACAGGTGTGAGCCACCAGTCTGTCCTTAACCGCTTTTAAGTGCATGATTCGATGTCCTTAAGTACACCCACACTGGTGTGCAACCATCACCACCACCCATCTCCAGATTTTTTTGTCTTCCCAAACTGAAACTCTGTCCCCACTAAACATTCACTCTCCCTTCGTTTCTCTCTCTAGCTCCTAGTAATCACGACTCTACTCTCTCTCAATATAAATTTCTCTAGCTTCCTATATAAGTAGAATCCTAAATAGGGTTTTCTTTTAGTCTTTTTCAAACTCTTCATTTTGAAGTAGTTTTGGATTTACAGATGAGTTGCAAAGACAGCACAGAGCTTCCTCTAATGTTAATGCCTTGCCTTGAAGATAATATCGGTACAATACTATGAACTAAATGACATATCTCATTGGAATTTCGCCAGTTTTTCTATGGTGACAGAGTCCACAAGTTAAAGGGCTCAGTCCCACAAGACTGACCCTATTTCAGATACCAGCCACAGAGGGGGTGCTTGGATCACCCGTACTTCTGCCAGGCTGACAGCAAATTGGGGAGGGTCTCAGGTTCAGTAATTTGCTAGAACAGCTCATGGAACTCAGAAAAACCCTTTGCTTGTGTGCACTGTTTATTATAGTGGTCACAACTCAAAATAGTCAAAAGGAAGAATTGCACAGGACATAGGAGAGGTGAGGGGTCCATGGCAACTTCCATGCCCTCTGTGGGTACACCACCTTCCCGAGCCTTGATGCATTTGCCAGCCTGGAACTCACCAAATCTTGTTGTTTAAGAGGGTTTTATTTTTTGTTTGTGTGTGTTTGTTTGTTTTAAGATGGAATCCCTCTCTATCACTCACGCTGGAGTACAATGGCACAGTCCTGGCTCACGATAGCCTTGACTGCTGGAGTCCAGTTCCAGCCGGGTTCAGGGTACCCCAAAGGTGGAGACGGTGTCAGCGAGCTGGGGGAAGAAGAAAGAGAGAGAAAGAAAGGGACTGGACTCCAGTCTAGTGCAGAAGCGATGTGTGTTATTGGAAATTACAACAGGTCTTTTATACACAAAGTCAGATGTGGGAGGGATGTCCCCCACCCGATCAGAAACCTTAATCCATGAAAACTTAATCAATAATTGCCTTTAAACCCTTTTCATATGATAATCTTAAAATCCCATAACAAAGGATAACCTAATCCATGACTGACATATTCTATAAACCTTTTTCATCCTAAGATGATTGATTTATGCCAAGTTAAACAATTCTATAGAAGCTTAAGTATTTACTTTACAAACGAAAGTGGCCCATCCCAGAATGTTTGGAATGTGGCCCAGTCCAAAGTTCACAGTGGGCTACCTGCAAGTAACCCAGCCACATTCTTTCAACAAAAATGACTGTCTTCTAAAACTATATTCCACAATTTACACCTTCAATATGTCCTAAGATCATGACCCAGAAGCCTGTGACCAATACTAAGGCTCTTAGATGTGACATGAGTTTGAATTATAAGTTGTGTGAAAGCCAAAACTGCAGTTTGTGGAAGAATGGGAGCAATGACTTTCTAAAGTTAGCTTGTGTTTGTCCCGGTCTCAGAGTTTTTATGTTTTGAGCTCACAGGGGCTTCATCTGGTTAGTGCTGAGTAGAAAGGGGGAGGAAATGGGGTCAAATAGCTCCCAAACGCATCCTAGTGGTCTCGGGGTCAACGGCCCTTCCTGATCCCTAACGCTCAGTGGGCCTCCATGGCTGGCTCCCAACACTTGACTTCATGTACTCAGGTGTTCCTTTCACCTCAGCCTCCCAAGTAGCTAGAGTTACAGGCATGCATCACCACAGCTAGCTAATTTTATTTTATTTATTTATTTTTTAGAGATGGGGTCTCACTGTGTTGTCTAGGCTGGTCTCAAACTCCTGGGCTCAAGCAATCCTCCCACCTCAGTCTCTCAAAGTGCTAGGATTATAGGCGTGAGCCATCATGCCCAGCCTCTGTGTTTTTGTTTGTTTGTTTGTTTTTGAGTTGGAGTCTCACTCTGTCACCCAGGCTGGTATGCAGGGGCACACTCCCAGCCACCACAGCCTCAACCTGCTGGGATCAGGTGATCCTTCCACCTTGGCCTTCCAAGTAGCCAGAACTACAGGCATGCACTACCATGCCCAGCTAATTTTTTTATTTATTGTAGAGATGAGGTCTTACTATGCTGCCCAGGCTGGTCTCAAACCCATGGGCGGGCTCAGACAGTTCTCTCATCCCAGCATCCCAAAGTGCTGGGATTATAGGCTTGAGCCACCACGCCTGGACCATTTGTTTGTCTTAAGATGGGGTCTTGCAATGTTGCCTAGGCTGGTCTTGAACTGCTGGGCTCGAGGGATCCTTCTGCCTCAGCTTTCTGAGTAGCTGGAATTACAGGAGTGAGCAACCATGCCCAGCTTGTTCAAGAGTTTTGTTTTTGGTTGTTTTTTGTTTTTTGTAGAGACGAGTTCTCATTATATTGCCCAGGCTGATCTGGAACTCCTAGGCTCACATGATCCTCCCACCTCAGCCTCCCAAAGTGCTGGGATTAACCACTCCTGGCCTTGTTCAAGAGTTTGTATAGAACTCAATCTCCAATCCCACTCCCTGAAGATCGGTGAGAAGAACTGAATGTTCCAATCCTCTAATCATTAATTTGGTCTTTCTGATGAAAAACCCTATCCAGAAGCTAGGATGTGACTGGGGCCCCGCCCTAATCATGTCATGCTCAGGCGTGGTATAATAAAAACCAAAGATACGCCTATCACTCTGATTGAGACAAAAGTCAAATGTATGATGCCACAGGAAGGAAGTGGGAATGAGCAGAAAGAGAATACCAACAGGCATGGTGGCCCCTGGGGGGACCACTGAAACATGAATGGTCCTTCAGAGTGATCTCATGTCAGGCTGAGGTGACTAGACCTTAACCCCGTACCAAGGCAAGCACACTAAGGAGCGTGACTTTGAGAGAGGCGATCCTTCCACCTCAGCCTTCCGAGTTGCAGGGACTACAGGCGTGCACCACCATGCCTGGCTAATTTATTTATTTATTTGTTTGTAGAGACGAGATCTCGCCATGTTGCCCAGGCCGGTCTTGAACTCCTGGTCTCCAGAGATCCTCCTGCCTCGGCCTCCCAAAGTGCAGCCGAATCCATCCTCAAAGGGGCTCCCAGGAGCTGCAGCAACATGTCCTTCCTGAAAGGAGGATCGGATCTGGGAGGATCAGCCCAGGGTCCCCTGCATCTAAAGAGAGGAGGCATCTGGGGTGTTCATTGCTTGGCCTGGAGCATGGATCCTCTGGTGCTCTTCTAAGCACCAAGTCCTAGTCAAAGGGGGTGCACGCAGAGGGTGGTAGAAGGATGTGGCCAGATGGAAGGTCTGCACGGGTGGGAGAAAATCCTGGGGGACATAGCAGTCACACACAGCAATCCAAATAGTCTAACCTCAGAAAGGAAGAGAGCAGATTAAGAAGCACACAGCCCCCGACCATATCCCTCACCAGATCACTTGAAGACTCCACAGACGGGCCAGAGTCACAAATTCCAAGCCAGGGGGGCTTTCAGGCATCAGCAGAAGGATAGACCAACACCCAGGCCCATCAGGGATGAGAAATCTGACAAAGAGTCCCTGAGCTTTTCTTAAGGTCTGGGGGAAGGAGAGGAAGGAACACTGGCTTAAAAGCAGGTACGGTTCTGCTACCCAGCAGCAGGACTTGGGACTGCAGGGGTGGAGGAGAGAAACCACCCTTCTTCGTGGGGACAGGAGGCTGCGGGCTTTTTGCAGACCCAGAATTTGGCAACAGCACATTTGTCATCGTTCCAGCCGTTGCCGCTGAATTCCGCACAGTCTTCCTTTCCCACGTTGTTGGGCTCTCCTCTGTTCCAGTACTTTGCGAAACTGCAAAGCCCATGCAAGGATGTGAGACTCCACCCCCGCCCCCCTAGAAGCCATACTTTTCTAAATTCTGCAAATTTTTTAAAAATAAAAAATAGAGACAAGGTTCTTACTATGTTGCCTAGGCTGGTCTCAAACTCCTGGCCTCAAGTGATCCTCCCGCCTTGGCCTCCCAAAGTGTTGGGATGACAGGTGTGAGCCACCCTGCCTGGCCTGAGTTTTGGAAGCTTGATGCTCTAATATCTGTCCTACATGCGTGTGCTGGACATGCATGGCTCTGGACTCCCGATAACATGCCTGAGTCACGTTGCCTTGGTATCCTGTCTCCCTTGTCTTCCTCCTCCTCTTGGGGGTGTGATGTCTGAATAATCTAGAGTCCACACCCCCACACACCTCCCTGTTGGGTTTTTCCAGTCCAGGTCACTGGCCCCCTACCCTCATCACCCCAGTGCCAGGTGCCAGACAGCTAGGGACAGCCCGAAGGTGCTGGAGCCCACTGAGGTGACTCACCCCAATCAATCCTAAACCTGTTTACCCAGCCTCGCCCATTCCTTCCCACAGAAACCTTAACAAAGCCTCTTCCCTACAATTCCTCTGCTCATCCAACTCTGATACTTCCCTGGATATCTCCCTATAGGGATCTGTGAGTATGACAAGCTATCTTTATTTTACTTTTTGTTTTGAGTCTGAGTCTCACTCTGTCACCCAGGCAACCACTGAGTGATTGCAGTGGTGCAATCATGCATGGCAGCCTCAATCTCCTGGGCTCAGGCGATCCTCCCATCTCAGTCTCCCAAGTCACTGGGTCTACAGGCATGCACCACTATGCCCTGCTAATTTTTAAAATTTTTTTGTAGAGATGAGGTCTCATTATGTTGCCCAGGCTGGTCTCAAAACTCCTGGTCTCAAGCGATCCCCTCTCCTTGGCCTCCCAAAGTGCTGGGATGACAGGTGTGAGCCACCACGCCCAGCCTAACAAGCTATCTTTAAAGTGGCAATTGTCTGTTGACAATACACTATATTTTAAAGCACCCATCCAGGTGCAGCTCCGATGGTGGAATTTCAGGCACCTGCCATCTTGTCTGAACGCAGGTATAAAGACCAACTTCCTCAACCCAGCAAAAATCCCAGACTCTCAGGCCTGGGAGGTCAGGGAATGAGGAAAGAACCTCAGGGAAATCTCAAGTCAGAGTCTCAAAACCTCGCTGGACAGGGCATCTGTCCCCTTCCCCTGGGATCTACCTGGGTGACAGGAGGGAACCATCCACCCAGTGCCAGGTGCCTTCTGTTTTCAGATCTGAGAGCCCCATCCAGGTGAAGCGGTTACTCCTGGAAGACTGCAGCTGCAGAAAGTTCTGGAGGATAGAGCAGGAGCCAGGAGAAATCAGGAGGGAGCTCTGCTTCCTGTTGTCCGGGCTCAGCATCCCCGCACCTCTTCGCAGGAAGTTCCCCTTTCAGTCTCACTTTCAGCCACCTAGTACCACCAGGTCCTGAGCGCCCACATGCCCGATTCCCCTCATAGCTGTATCCCACAGCACATGTGCAGACATCTGTGTGCAGAGGGCTTCTCCTTACACCTAATACCACGTTTGCCTGTTTTGCCTGTTCTGAGCATGGCCACACGAATTTACTCATGATGGGGTTTAAGGAACTGGAGTCAGATCGGACCGGTTCGTGGTTGCTGACTGGCCCCATCTATTTTCAGCTCCGCATGGAGTGATGCCCTATGGGTAGCTTGAAATCAGCCATGATGGGAATATTTACACCAGAGAAATTGGCCCACAGGACACACCCCCTGCCCCACCCAGCGTGCTGGTTCTTAAACATTTGCAGCACACCTCTGGGACTAACTTGTATTTGACACGCTTCCCAAAGCACTCGCACATTTTCGGGTCTTGTTTGCATCTCCTTGCAAGGTGCTTGGGACCCTCTCATTCATTTCCTTCGCCTTCCTGTCTTTCCAAGAACTGACCATCTTCTGGATAATCCTCCTCACCACCTACTTCCTAGTGGGCCAGTGCCCAGATGCATGCCCAGGCCAGCCTCCCTTCCTCCCTCCCACCTCCCCGCCAGGTGTACCTGCTCCTCGTGGCTTTTGATTACGACTAGTTGGGCCCCCACTTCCTGACAGGCAGTGATGGAGTCCTGCCAGTTCCGCTGGGAGTTAGAGATGAAATAACAGTTTCCTTGGAAAAATGTCCAGTCCCAGGGACAGGGGCGGCACAGGTGATCTGTCAGGGAAGGCGGATCAGGGCTGGTACCCTGATCCAGCTGCCTGTGTGTGTCTGCCCTTGGGTGTCAGGGTCCCTCCTGACTGTCCCCTCTGGGTTGGCCGTCCCCCTCTCTACTTCCCGAGACCCTCACCACCCCCAGGAGAATCCAGGAGTTCCAGCCCTGCCTCCTCCAGATTGGGAGAAGTAGGGGCTTTAGAGCTCAGGACAGGAGGCGGGGAATGGGCTGAAGTGAGTGCCTACTGTGTACCTGGCCCTCTATGAACACCAAGTGCAGATGACCTTGTTAACTTGTGTCCCGTTTCAGAAATGATGAAACAGACTCACAGAGAATTGGTGACCCAAGCAAAGTCATGCCATACGGAGACTCCCTCAGGCCCCGAGACCTCTGGCACCCGGGCACTCACTGACTGCAACCTTCAGCTGGGCCACTTCCTGGGCGATCTCTGGCTGCTTGCACTTACCAACTGCAGTCTTCAGCTGGGCCAGTTCCTGGGAGATCTCCTGCTGCTTGGACCGTGCTGGACACTCATTGATGGCAGTCTTCAGCTGGGCCAGTTCCTGGGAGATCTCCTGCTGCTTGGACCGTGCTGGACACTCATCGATGGCAGTCTTCAGCTGGGCCAGTTCCTGGGAGATCTCCTGCTGCTTGGACCGTGCTGGACACTCATCGATGGCAGTCTTCAACTGGGCCAGTTCCTGGGAGATCTCCTGCTGCTTGGACCGTGCTGGACACTCATTGATGGCAGTCTTCAGCTGGGCCAGTTCCTGGGAGATCTCCTGCTGCTTGGACCGTGCTGGACACTCATTGAGGGCAGTCTTCAGCTGGGCCAGTTCCTGGGAGATCTCCTGCTGCTTGGACCGTGCTGGACACTCATCGATGGCAGTCTTCAGCTGGGCCAGTTCCTGGAAGATCTGCTGCTCCTGACTCAAGGAATTGGGGGGCTTGGAAACTGTGCCAAGAAAAAAGGAACTGCAATTATTTAATACCTATTGTGTGTCGTGCCCTGCACTGGGCCCCCAGGGACATAATTTCAAGATCTTGGCCAATCCCCTTTGAATACGAGGAAAACTGCTTCTTACGACGGGAAGCACAGCAGGGCAAGGGAATCCAGGTCCTTCTCCTCCTCCTCCTCCTCCCCCTACCTTGTCTTCTTCCTCAACCTGCATCTCCTCTCCTGCCCAGAAGTGGCAAGGGCCACAGAAGTCCTGGAAACACCAAGGGACCTGACACAGGCTTTTAGCCTCACCTCCCTCTTGGACCTGGCTGCCCCAGGCCGTGTTCACAGAAACGCAGACCCTGCCCCTGACCTTTGACAAGGATGGCCATGAGGAGCCCAGCAAAGAGGATGAAGGAGAGAAGCCACAGCACCAGGGAGACATGGCCCAGACGTCCTGCAGGAGAGAAGGAGGCATGGTGCAGCACCCCAGTGTCCCCAACTCGCCCAGTCCAGGAAGGGCATGGCCCCAGCTCCGACCTCTCCAGGACCCAGGGGTCCAGGCTCCAACCCCACCTCCTCAAGACATGGGAACCCAGACTCCAACCCACACCTCCCCAGGACACAGCCCCCACCTCCCAGGGGCCCTAGAGTCCAGGGTCCAGCCCCCACCACCCGAGGACCCAGGAGTCCAGGACTCACCCCCCACCTCCCTAGGACCCAGAAGTCCAGGTGCCAGCCCCCACCTCCTCAGGACCCAGGGGTCCAGGTTCCGGCCACCACCTCTCCAGGACACAGGAGTCTGTGAGGCTCTGTCCCCTCTCCATGACCCCCCTCATCCTTCTCTACCTGCTAAGTTGTTGAAACCACGAGTCCGAGGAAATCCAGAATGGCGTGGGAAAGATCTGATATTGCTGGTCATCAGCTCTTCCTCTTCTGAATGGACAGATATTTTCTAATCCCAGGCCTTCTGAGACCAGAGCCGGCCTTCCCCCGGGTTCCCTCCTCAGGATCCCAGAGTCCCAATCCAGCCTCACCCATAAGGCCCAGCTGCTGCGCCCTCGGTTCCTTGGAGTCACTCATGTTTTTCCACCGTCCCTCAGAGTCCAGCATTTCTGGGGAACCACAGCTTTTATTTCCACCCCAGGGTCCTCACTCCCCACCTCTACTCTCACACCGGAAAAGAAACAGGAAACTGGGTAGGGACATGTCACCCAAAAGCCCAATGGGAGGGATCAGAGCATGGGATGGGCCGGACCTTCCGAAATCTCAGGGAGGTGGTGGGGGCTGGTGAGTAGGACTTGCCCACTTACGGCATGACTGAGCAATAGGTTGCTGTTGATGAAATTCAGTAAGGTGTGAAGGAAAGCTGTCTTGTTATCCCCCCTCTACCTAGGGCAGGAGTGGACGAGCAGTGCCCCCAGGCTTCCTGGAACCACCACCCCCTCTGACCTCCAGACTTTGCCGCCTAGGTCTGCTGATGTCCTCATTTATGATGATTTCTGCTGACTTTGGGAGTTGGGCTGAATCATAATCGCTTGCTTTCTTCATGCCTATGATGGTTGGGCACTTTTCTAAGTGCTTTATAAACTTGTCCATTGACTCTTTCTCTCTAGTGGTAGATCATATGACCTCCATTTTACTGACTGGGGAGACTGAGACACTGTGAGGTTAGATAACTTGCCCAACGTCACCCAGCAGGTAAATGAGGGAGCTGGGATTTGAACCTAGATAGACTTCTTCTATAGTCCACACTGTTAACCAAAGAGAATCAAATAGTATCAAGGAGGAAACAAAAAGACTCATAGCCACTTTATTTAGAATACTCTCAAATTGGAACCACCCATGTGGCCACCATCAGATAAATGAAAAAAATAAGTGGCATATTCAGAGAGCGGAATACTAGACAGCAATGAAAAAGCAAAATAATGACACATGCAAGAACATGGATGAATTCCTTAAGAGTTAAAAAAAATTTTTTTTAAACCCAGACAGAATGAGTACATTTTGTAAGATTAGACTTTACAAGATCGTCAAGAACAGGCAGAACTAGTCTCTGATGAGAACTCAAAATGAGGGTTAACTGAAAGGAATGGGTGAGGTTTGACAAGGAAGAGGTAGAAGGGAGTCTTCTGTGTGTTAGAAATGTCCTACATTTTTATTTGAGCAGTGGCTGTATGGGTGTATTCATATGTAAAAGTGTCTTGAGCGGTATATTTCAGACTTGTGCATTGTATTGTGAATTATATCTTGATTTAAGAATGGAATATGTCAAGCCAGGCTTGGTGGCTCAGCCTGTAATCCCACGCCTTTGGGAGGCTGAGGTGAGTGGATTTCCT